CTTTCCTTTCCTTTCCTTTCCTTTCCTTTCCTTTCCTTTCCTTTCCTTTCCTTTCCTTTCCTTTCCTTTCCCAATATAACTATGACTGCCATGTCCTCCTGTGCCAGGACTCAGTTTACAATTACTTTTCTGAAAGTACTATTTCATAAATATGTAAACTCTGCCCCTCTCTAGTTCTTATTTTAGGCTTTTTTTCTGTACAAAATACAAATACCACAACATTTATGGAGTTATGATACTTACAAAGGCTGCATGCCTTCCACGAAACCCACGAGTACACTGTTGCCTCCATGGTTTCCAAACAATAAATCCCAAGAGGTATAGAACAAACATGGATGTTTTTGCAAACGTACTGAAAAAAGGTTTGTTGTACTTTGTAAAAACATACTGTGGAAAGAAAATAATTGCAGTATCCAAAATTACCAAATAGGTGAGAATTCACAAAAATGAATGAACAGGTGTGAGAATATACTCCAGAACAGTCTGGAGCAGCACAATAAACATTGGTAGGGATGTCCAAAATAACCACGTGCCCTACTTGTTCTGGGGGTACCCCCTCCCCAGCTATTTCTAATGCCAACAAGAAGGCCCTGAGCCATTTTGTAAGACACAATGCCACCAGAAAAAAATTATTTATTACTCATATCAAACAAAGCAATATATTTATATGCCACTGAACTCAAATAGGTCTGAAAATACCTTTATATACAAATATTTTCTAAATTAAAACCCCCTTTTGTAAGCAGTAGCATAGTAATAAAAAATTAGAGAAGATTACTTCGATTAAGTAACATTTCAGTATCAATATGATTCCACCAGCTCATTGGAAAAAATGTTTTATTAATAATACACGTTAAGAACAAAATTTGTATATGCTTAATTTCAAGACTGATATAAAACATAACAGAAACCTGAATTTGACCAGAATTTGTTAAATTTCTTAAAACCTCAATTTCCACTGCTAAAGCTCTGTTTTAAGTCCTCAAACTTTACATGGAGTAAATACCATAACAGTTTCAATATGGTGAACATACGAACTAGATGCAATTATAAGGCTTAAACTCCATGACCTGAGCCCTTTCACCCCGGACTTCTATATGCCCTGATCTATAATCCATCACGTTACACCTCGTTTGCTGCTTTTTGGGAAACATATGGGCATTATTTTAATCATTATGGCAATAAACAAAAGAAACTCCCTATTTACTGTACGGAGTTATGAGCTCATGCTGTTCAATTTTAAAGTTATCAGCAACACCTTCTGTCTCAAAAGCAGCAGTCACTGAGTTGAGCTTATTTGTGACTTGTAGTGGATACAGGCTGGTTCACTCAAAGGTGAACCCAAAGGGTATCACCTTCCCCATACTGAAAAGGTGGTAAATATTACACAACAAGACCCACTGAGCGTTTGAGTGACCACGTTTCTGCTGCATCTTTCTCTTCAGTAGGCTTCTATTTCCCCTTTAAGATGTGTGGAGCAACACTTACAGAAGTGAGTTCCGAAGAGGCAACCCATATCACATCCACAAGGAGGAGGATGACGATTCCCAGAGCCAGTCGCCGTCGCTGAACGGATGAGCTGCTCTGGGAGCTCATTCGGTTCATGATAAAAACCCACAGCATTTGTAACCTGGTTAAGGTCAATAAAGGAATAAACCCCAAAAGATTACAACAGTGACACAAAAAAAAAACAAAACAAAAAAAACCCCAAACAAACAAACAAAAAAAACCCACAACAATAAACAGCAGGACAAGTGTTTCATATACATGAATTGGGCCCATATGTAAGGACACATATGCTTGTGCTTGTTAAAAAGCAGATCTGGGACAGATAAGGCATGAAATTTTCATTGGGGCAATTAAAAAGTAAATCTTGACTTTTAGAGAATTTACTCTAAAGTTTACTTCAGTGCTCTAGCACTGAAGTAAGCAAGAGTAGGTAAAACGTACAATGCCTTTTGGGAATTTCTATGCTACAAGTTTTGCTAAATTTGAAAGCACTATATTTTGGTACGTTCAGATACCTGACAGTAGAAATTAGGTTGATGTCTTGGGCCAAATATAATTCTGCTAAAAGTAGTCAGAAACACGTTTAAACTTAAGCATTTAACAAATATTTCCAAAGTCATAGCATGGCATTTGGGTAAATTATGATCCCTCAAAGCATGAAGAGTTTAAAAAAAAAAAAAAAAAAAGACAAATT